TTAAGCAGCTGACTTCGGCTCAGGTCATGATCTCACGGTCCGTGAGTTCGAGCCCCGCGTTGGGCTCTGTGCTGACAGCTCGGAGCCTGGAACCTGTTTCAGATTCTGTGTCGTCCTCTCTCTGACCCTCCCCCATTCATGCTCTGTCTCTCTCTGTCTCAAAAATAAATAAACGTTAAAAAAATTTTTTTAAATAAATAAAATAAAATAAAAATGAAGCATACCACTGTCAAACTGCTAAAAAACAAAGACAAGATCTTGAACGCAGCCAGGAAGAGCAACAATCAGACAGCTGATTTCTCAATAGGAACGATGGAAGCCAAAACAACAAAATGACATCTAAAGTGAAAGATAAGCTGACAATCTAGAATTCCGTATTTGCAAAAATATCCTTTAACCATGAAGGCAGTATAAAGATATTGACAGAAAACCCAAAAACTGAAGGAGTTTGTAATAGAATAGACTTGTAGTTAAAGAAACACCAAAGGGATTTCTTCAAACAAATGGAAAATGATTCCAGTTAGTAACACAGAAATGCAAGGAAAAAAGAGGGAGGAGAATCAAGATGGCAGAGTGGGAGGATCCGGAGCTCCACCCGCCCATGGACCCGGCCCGGCTATAAAGATCTACAGATCAGCTCTCTTTGAGCACGACTAGAGCTAGCAGAGCAGCTCTTCCACAGATAAAGATGGAAAGAAAAAGCCACATTGGGAAGGGTAGGAGGGGCAGAGATGTGGTCATCACCACTCAACCGGCCTTACAAGAAACCTTAAAGGGACTCCGTTAGGCAGAAAAAAACATAAATAGAAGAAGATTTTGAAAGAAAAAAATGCACTGGTAAAGGGAAACGTCTAGTATGGGTAGTGGATCAACCACTTATAAAGCTAGTATGAAGATTAAAAGACAGAAGTAGTAAAGTCAGTTATATCTACAATAATTAGGTAAGGGATGCACAAAATAAAAAGTTATAAAATAAGATGTCAGATATAAAATGTGGAGAGAGCAAAATGTAGTGCTTTTAGAATGTGTTCAAACTTAAGCAACCATCAACTTAAAATAGACTGCTGTCTACATAGGATGCTCTACGTATGAACCTCATGGTAACCACAAACCAAAAACCTATAATAGATACACAAAAAATAAAGAGAAAGGAATCCAAACATAACATTAAAGAAAGTCATATCACAAGGGAAGGAGCAAAAGAAGAAGGAACAGAAAGAACTACAAAAGCAACCAGAAAGCAATTAACGAAATGGCTGTACATACATAGCTATCAATAATTACTTTAAATGTAAATGGTCTAAATGTTCCAGTTAAAAGACAAAGGGTGACTAAATAAATTAAAAAAAAAAAAAAAAAGACCCCTAGGGTACCTGGCTGGCTCAGTTGGTAGAGCATGCGACTCTTGATCTCGGGGTTGTGAGTTCAAGCCCGCATTGGGCATAGAGCTTCAACAAAAACAAAACAAGACTCATTTACAGTCTGCCTATAAGACTCACTTCAGACCAAAAGAAACATATAGACTGAAAGTGAAGAAATGGAAAAAGATACTACATGGAAATGGAAAGAAAGCTGGGTAGCAATACTTAGACAAAACAGACTATTTATTTACTTATTTATTTAGAGCACACAAGCAGGGGAAAGGGGCAGAGTGGGGGAGAGAGAATCACAAGCTGATCCAGAGCCTGACATGGGGCTTGATGCAGGGCACAATCCCACAACCCTGGGATAATGACCTGAGCCAAAATCAAGAGTCAGATGCTTAACCGATTTAGCCACGTAGGCACCCCTAGACAAAACTGACTTTAAAATAAAGACTGTTAACAAGAGACAAAGAAGGGCATTACATAATCATAAAGAGATCAATCGAACAAGAGAATATAACAATTACAAATATCTGTACACCCAACATATGAGCACCTAAATATATAAAGCAAATATTAACAGATATGAAGGTAGAAATTGACAGTAATACAATAATAGTAGGGGACTTTAACATTCCACTTATATCAGTGAATATATCATCCAGACAGAAAATCAATAAGGAAACAGTGGCCTTAACGTATTAAACCACATGGACTTAATAGATACATACAGACCCAAGGGAAGAATACACATTCTTTTCAAATGCAGATGGACTATTCTCACCTTAGGTCACATGTTAGGCCACAAAACAAGTCTCAATAAATTTAAAGATTGAGATCATATCAAGCATCTTTTCTTAAATGTTTATTTATTTTGAGAGAGAGCATGTGTGTGAGCAGGGGAGGAGCAGAGAGAGGGAAGGAGAATCAATCCCAAGCAAGGTCCGTGCTGACAGTGGGGCTTGATCTCAGGAATCTTGAGATCATGATCTGAGCCGAAATCAAGAGTCAGCTGCTCAACTGACTGAGCCACTCACGCGCCCCAAGTGTCTTTTCTGATAACATAGCTAGTATGAAACTAGATATCAAATACAAGAGAGGAAAAAAAAAAAGGTAAAAAAATCCCTAAACCCCACAAACATATGGAGGCTAAACAACATGGTATGAAACAATGTCAATGAAGAAATCAAAAGGAAATTAAAAATACCTTGAGGTATTATATGATTTCACTTATATGTGAATCTAGAAAAGTTCCTCTGAGTAAGAACCAGACTTTCAAAGAGGGCAGCAAAGGTATATAATGAAAGTATGATGGTTGAGTACTGTTTCGTAGGAAGAGGATCTAAGGGCATTGCTCCTCCACCTACAGACTTTCAACCACACATTCTGTTTTCAGGTCCTCCCTGAACGCTTCCCCTACAGATGTGTGTCTGGCCTCTCCAATTCTTAAACCTTTCTGGACTTCTTGCTTTTTAACTCCTGAGATCATACTACACATACAGTTTTACAGCCAGATTTTTTTTTTTTTATACTTAATGTTTCATTGTATAACTGTTGCTAAAATACCCTACCAACTACCTTTAAGCCACCACAATGAGAAAGTTCTAGATTCCTACCAGAGTTCAAGCCAAGGTAGTCACAGGTGTCATGCAAGTACTTACAGAACAGCAGGAAGGAAAAAACCTGTATATAAAATAAATTGTATCTTGAGACACCTATCCTTATGCTAGTACATCTTGAATGATTTTTTATTTTTAATCTCTACACTGAACGTGGGCCTCGAACCTGCAACCCCAAGATCAAGAGTCACGTGTTCTACCAACTGAGTCAGCCAGGCAGGCACCCCCATCTTGAATGAGTTAACTACTAAATGTAGCAGTATGAGGCCAGGAAAAATTCAGGTCTCACCATGGAGGCAATTTTAAGTAACCTGTGGTATTATTTAGAATATTGACCCAGATGCTGTACAGTGACCTGAATTAACAACGGCTTATCAAGATAGAAGTTTGTTTTCTGTCTTGTAACAATCCAAGTGTGATATGATGGCTCCATGTAGGATCCTTCTGTCTTGTTGCTTTCTTCTTCTTAGGCTGTTTCCATTGTTCATATGATTAAAGATGGCTGAGTACACGTTAGCCAGTGGGAAAGGGGAAGTATGATCCAGGGAACACACTTTGAAAGTACTTTTAAAGGCAATTTTGCACCTTTCACTTCAGCTCACAGCTCATTATCCAGAAGTTACTAGAAGACTGGAAAACAGTTTAGCTTGGTGGCCGTGTATTTTGTGCTATATAAGAAACTGAGGGAAATGAAATGAAATGAAATAATGAAATGGAAATGAAGTGAAATGAAATGAGACAAAATAAAACTCAATAAATACACCAGAAAAGAAATGCTGAGGTTAAGTACTGGGGACAGCTAATGGTCTTTGCTATATTCTGAGCTTAGTAAAGTCAAGTTGTTGAATTTAAATTAACATAGCTCTGAGGTTAAGTCCTGATCTTTGTAGTAAGGGATTCTTTTACTTGTGTATACCAAAATTACAAACAAAACTTAAAAATAAAACCAGGAAAAATCATAGTGATTTTCCCTATAGAGGCTTAAGGAAATAGGGAAGATTAATGCCTTATGCTTCTTTTATTCACTGGAATTCAGTAAAATCCTCCTCCGTTTTCTCCATTCTGGCCAGTGAAATCAAGCTCTTTTACTTTTGCTTCTAATACTAATGAAATTCCAGAGCCAAGGTTTACAGATGTACACATTTAAATTTTTTTTTAACGTTTATTTATTTTTGGGACAGAGAGAGAGCATGAACGGGGGAGGGGCAGAGAGAGAGGGAGACACAGAATCAGAAGCAGGCTCCAGGCTCTGAGCCATCAGCCCAGAGCCCAACGTGGGGCTCGAACTCACAGACCGCGAGATCATGACCTGAGCTGAAGTCGGATGCTTAACCGACTGACCACCCAGGCGCCCCCAGATGTACACATTTATAACGAACAGGAAAAGAGATCAAGAGACGAAAGAGGTGCCACTCCCCTTTGCAGCAGTGGAGGAAGAGAGATGGTTCTGTTCCACAGAACTAAGTTCAACGAATCTGCTTTGATGAGATGTTAAACTAAAAACATTCATAAGAACATCAGTCTTGTTTTCCTGTGCAATATGAAAACGTGTCTGAATATTCATAATCTAGCAATTTGTTCTCTGTTCTTGGAAGTATAATTTTTAAGAAAGGTCTTATAAACTCTTGAGACTTTGAAATTGTTACTACATACTGCAAAGACAACCTTCACAAAGAGCTTGTATTTCTATTGGTTGTCTTTCTTGATAGTTCGTTGCCTTGGTAATAATGCTGTAATCTACGTCTGAATTTCTAAACACCCTAAAGGCTTGTAACTTTGTTCTGTCAAATCAGAAGAGAATCACTGGCACATTTCTCTTCTTCCATATATAGAATGGAGAAAAATAAATTCCCATCACAGTAGTCGATTTCTTTTGACAAAGACTGAGAGCTTTGTTGCTAAATTAACAAGGGATATTGCCTTTCTTTTTCTCTTTGAAAATTTAATATCTACTATCTTTAGGAATTCATGGAATTCTTTTCAAGTTATTTAACAGGGTTTCTTTTTTCCCATATAGACTGTCCTTCATCTACCTGGGTTCAGTTCCAAGACAGTTGTTACATTTTTCTTCAAGAAGCCATCAAAGTAGAAAGCATAGAGGACGTCAGAAATCAGTGTACTGATCATGGTAAGGAGTTCATTCCTTTTTTTTTTCACGGTCTTTAAATAGTGTTGACTAATTCCTTGAAAAAATAGTTTTGTCAGGGCGCCTGGGTGGCTCAGTCGGTTAAGCTTCCAACTTTGGCTCAGGTCATGATCTTGTTGTCTGTGAGTTTGAGCCCTGCATCGGGCTCTGTGCTGACAGCTCGGAGTCTCTGGCCTGCTTCAGATTCTGTGTCTCCCTCTCTCTCTGCTCCTCCCCCGCTTGCATGCTCGCTCGCTCACTCTCTCTCTCTCAAAAATAAACAAATAGTTTTGTCATATCTCGCTTTTACCTGGGTCCCTGTAATAAATGGACCATTTTTATTGTATAATACATAAGCCATAAGTGGAATTGGGCATATACTTAACCTTTGAGTTGGGAGACAGCTGTTAGCCAGTACTGTCCAAAGCTTTGTGCCAGAAACTTAGCAACAGCAGTGTCCATTTAATGTGCATACTCTGTGCCAGGCACTGTGCTTAGGCACACCATATACTTTTACCTGGCTTTAATGAACATAACAAACCTATCAGGTAGTTTTTTTATTATCCTCCTTTTATCAACGGGACAAACTAAGTGCAGTTTATTTGTTCAGGGTCACACAGGTAGTAAGTGACAGAGCCAGGATTTAAACCAGGGTCTAGCAAGGTCTAACAGAACACTCTGTTATTCTGCCTTGAAAGTGCTGTTTCAGGTATGTAGTGTGGGCAGAAGTCAAATGGGATCATGAAGTGAAACTGTGGTAAAGAAATGTATGTTAAACAAAAAGGAGAAGGGCGCCTGGGTGGCTCAGTCTGTTGACTGTCTGACTCTTGATTTCAGCTCAGGTCATGATCTCATCGTTCGTGAGATCAAGCCCCACCTCGGGCTCTGCGCTGACAGCTCAGAGCCTGCTTGGGATTCTCTCCCTGCCCCTCTCCTGCTCATGCTCTCTTTCTCTCTCTCTCTCAAAATAAAAAAAAATTAAAGAAAAAAGAAAGAAAGAAAAGGAAAGAAAGAGAAAGAAAAAAGAGAAAAAGGCTATTTGCTAGCAATACATTCAGTGTTCTCCAGAAAATATATTTACAACTTCACATTGTGAAATATTTTAAATAAAAATGGTATTTTTAAAAAGGTGTGCTTGGGTGTTCTTTATATGTTTGGCTGTTTGGCCCAAAGTGCATCCTTGTTGTTGTCTCTAACTGTTGTGATACTTGGAAGTTCAAACTGAAACTAGGATGTGAACTAGTAACTTTTTCAACTGAAATACCTGTGATGGTGATAGGAGAGTCCTTGATTCTTTAGAGGTGTTTTTTATTACTGCATGAGATCTAAAATCTCTTGATTATTTCATTAAATTTTATCTTAGACTCATCAGTAACTCCAGCATTTAGAAATGCCCTTTACCTTAAAAAAAAAAAAATCTAACAACCGACCAATACAACATTTTGGAAGAATATCAAATCATATTCACTTATCATAGGAGTGAATGTAAGCATAGAGGTTTTTTGTTTTTTTTTTTTAACATTTATTTATTTTTGAGACAGAGAGAGACAGAGCATGAACAGGGGAGGGGCAGAGAGAGAGGGAGACACAGAATCTGAAACAGGCTCCAGGCTCTGAGCGGCCAGCACAGAGCCCGACGCGGGGCTTGAACTCACGGACCGTGAGATCATGACCTGAGCCGAAGTCGGACACTTAACTGACCGAGCCACCCAGGCGCCCCAAGCATAGAGGTTTTTAATCCTGGTAAGTGCCATGTAGTACTCAATGCATATTGTTTCCCTTTGAAAAACTCATACCTGCCAAATGGTGTTGAACATTGGCTCTTTGAAAACAAGACATTTTGAATCTACCAGTATGGTTTCATTTTAAAGAAATTGAGGGCTGCCTGGGTGGCTCAATCGGTTAAGCATCTGACTCTTGATTTCAGCTCAGGTCATGAGCTCACGGTTTGTGAGTTTGAGCCCCGAGTCAGGCAGGCCCTGTGCTGACAGCGTGGAGCCTGCTTAGGATTCCCTCTCTCTGCCCATCAGCTGCTCACACACTCTCTATCAAAATAAATATTTTTTCAAAAATTGAATAATAGGCATTTTTTCAAATGGGACTTCCCCTATAACAATTTTCTATCTTTTTTAAAAATATTTATACTAGGTATCATGTAGATTTCAATAACAGACATTATTTGGGAGGCTGAGAGCCTAGAAAAGACCTATTACACTCTTACTAGCCTGTATGAACCACTATGTCAGAATTCACTGTCCAGTTTTACTACTTATCTTTAGCAATTAAGCAAATGCTTACTTTACAGAGGCAAAATTACTACTGGTTGCCATTTTTCTTTAGCAAAGCAAAACAGAATTGGAAACAGCCAGAAACTTTGTGATTTGACCTTGATTGCTTGTTCTGGAGTCCATTAACTCTACTTGTTCAAGCAGGGCAGCCACTAAGGAATTTAAAATGTTTATTTATTTTTGAGAGAGAGAGAACACAAGCAGGGAAAGGGGACAGAGAGGAGGAGACACGGAATCTGAAGCAGACTCCAGACTCTGAGCTGTCAGCACAGAGCCTGATGCGGGTCTCGAACCCACAAACCATGAGATCATGGCTTGAGCTGAAGTTGGATGCTTAATGGACTGAGCCACCCAGAGGCCCCAGGAATTTTAAATTGTTATATTCAAATTTGCTTATAAAATTTATCTTGTGTCTGAAGAAAAATATCTCTTTTCCCCAGTTAAAAATCTATAAATTCAGTTTGTCTTACTGATTGGATTTTTAAAAATTTCTCATACATTTCTCTTTACCTTACCATTTATTTGAAAATCCTCTATATTTGTTTCTACTCTGGAAATACCCAGTTCATTAATGAATCAGAAAATTAGCTATAATTAGTTAATAACACTGGTATTTATTTTTGGCTACACCAGTGTTTTGGTTAAGAGTCGTAGGTAGACATAAATTCAGTGTTTTGCTATGTATGAAGAAGAAAAAGCATAAGGTATAATACTACAGTATTTACATTGGGATTTATAAAATCTTGCCAGCTATACAAAATCGTATGTTAAACCTGTCATTAGGGGTTTAGAAAACAAGTGACTTGTTACCTTTTGTGCTGCAGTGAGCTATCTTTAGAAATATTCCCAGTGTTTTGTATAATTTACTTCATATTACCTCTCCTTATTTTTGGTATCCTTATTCATTTAGGTAAATAATTGTGAGAGGCTAACATTTTTCTTATTTTGCAACATTTACCTTTAATTTATGTTATCATTATAATAGAAAAAATAAATATTTTCAATATTTCTTTTTTATGATTTGTGAGATATGTCACTAGCTATAAAAAGAATTGAAGACCTATATTATATCTCAGCAGGTAGTGTCACTGGTAATGCACTGTAAAAAAATCTTGAGCACATGCATTCTCCAGGTACTTACCCTGTCATTTGTTAAAGAAAATGAAAGTGTGTCTTATTTGCCTGACACAGTAATTTAAGTTTATACAGTATTTAATTAGATTACAATGTTAAGAATCATTAAAGTTCCCTTGGCTTCCACAAGGTCAAAGAAAAGGATGAAAAACTCCTCTCTGAACACTTAAGCCAAAACTATAACCTAGTTAAATACTTCCCTTGAGAATTTTTCTAGAGTGGTATTTTGGTCACATTTTACAAGTGAGTACAAGTATCAGGGTGAAACAAATTAAAAGTCTGTGTGACATTTAACAGGCAGGCAGCTGGAAATGATAAGAAAACCATCATAGAGTTTTTCAAAATGGAGATATGGCTCAGAGAGCCTTGCTGAATCCTAACTTTGGATTAAAGTATTGTTATCTGATTTTTCTTTTAAAAGTTCTTTGTAATATGCACAATCACTATTAAAAAACTTAGAAAAATACATGAGCAAATATTTTAAACATATAGCAAAATCACCCTAAATCGCACCACCCTAATAAGGAAATGTAATGATTGTTAACATTTTGGTTAAATATCCTAGACATTTCACCCCAGGCAAATTTATATTAATAAATACTTTTTTCTTTTTTTTTTTTTAATGCAGTGTGCCTTTTAATGTTTATTTTTGAGAGAGAGTACCAGAGGGGGAGGAGCAGAGAGGGAGGATCCGAAGTAGCTCTGTGCTGTGTGTGCAGAGCCCTATGCAGGGTTTGAACTCACGAACTGTGAGATCATGACCTGAGCTGAAGTTGGCTGCTTAACCTACTGAGCCACCCAGGCGTCCCAGCTATTTTTTTAATATGTAAAAAAAGGGATCATATTTGGCAAACTGTCCCGTAATTTGCATTTTCCATTAAAGATGTCTGTGGCAGCAAAAATGTAATGCATATTTCCTAATAACTGTGTATTAATCCAGTATATAGAAATGCCATAATTGATTTAATTAATCCTTTAATATTGGCTATTGAATTATTTGCAATCTTTCAGTGTCACAAACGTGGTGAACATTAATGATTGTGTCTGTTTGAGCACAGAGCCAATGATTGCTGGGTCAAATACGTGCCCTTTTAGGGGCTTTTGACACATCTTGCCATATTGTTTCCAAGAAGGTTGTACTAATTTTTACTCCACCTAACCACGATGAGTTTCTATTTTGTTATACCCAGGGCCAACACTGTTTAATCTAGAAGTCTGAAAGGCTGCTGAATTTAATTTTCATTTCTTTACCAGTGAGATTGCATTTCTCACACATTTCTTTTGTTAGATTTCCTTCTGTGAGGGTGAACTGTCTTTTACAGTCTTGAAACAATTATTTTTCTTCCATTAAGGTGTTGGCTTCTTTATTTATAATAGAGCTGCAGTCTGCCTGGTTTGTGATTTTCTTCTCTAACAATCCAGTATGGTTTAGGGGAGACTTTTTGGCCCTATAGTAATTTTCTTTTCCCCTATTGTTAAATTTATTGGGTTTTTTTTTTGGTAAGCTTCTTTTAAGATATAAAAGTAATCATTTAATAAAAATTTTTCTTAGTATATCAGTACATAGTAGCTCTGTCTTTTCCATTTAACTGTTAACTTATTACAAAATATTATCAACTTTAGAGTGATGTCATAAATATAGTAGCCTACAATTTAAGCCACCTGTAATTCTCAAAGGATGGTCCCTGGATCAGCAGCATCAGCATCACCTGGGAACTTGTTGGGAATGTAAATTCTCAGGCCCCATCTCATTCCAGTTGGAAGCCCTCCAGATTTTGATGCATGCTCAAGGTGTGGAGAACCACTGAACTAAGATAATATTCTGGAATTTTCAGGAGACTTTGTTAAGTTTGGATGATTTTGGAAGAATGTAATAATAGGCAAGAGTACCTTATTTCTCCATGTACTTGCATTAGTTATAGTACAGAAAGTCTCCACACTGTAAAATATATGTAGGATCAACAACTTATCATTGGGAAATGGGAAAATTGTTACCTCTAAATTACTGAGGCTGAGAAGTCCTATGTTTATTATTTTTGTGTTATATTCCATATTTAGCTGAGTACACCTGAAAGGCTGTTACATTATTTTTTTTTTTTTTGTCTTACACCCAGGGATTAGATGTATCCTCCCTGCCAGCTTTCTGGCTGCTTTGAGCACAAGCCTTGATGTCATCATTTATTCAACTGTCTTCACTTGAAAAAACAGAATATCATGAAAGGAACTAACTCTACTAGCATTTTCTCTAAAGTATTATCCAATTAAGACAGTGAAATGCTTTTTAATTTGCAAGAGAATCTTTGTCTAGGTAAGGAAACAGGGTTAAATATCTCTTGGAAAAGTAGTTACTCCTGATACTTATAGGATGCTTGTATGTGTATGTAGCTTATAGACTTTAAGAACCACAAAAGCTAATGTATGGGAGATATAAAATATAGATCGCTGCTGCTCTTTACTCTTGAATCACATGAAAGTGTGATTAACTATCCAATGATAGACCTCTTTTATTGATCATTTTCCTTAACCAGGAATTTTCTAAAGACCACAGAATACATGTAAGGCTTTGGGCAGCAGGCACACGAAGGCCAGTTAAATGAGGCAAGTCAGAGACTGTTGCTTAATTTCACGTCTTGCAACTGTTCTGGCAAGTTGACTTCATAGTTTTCAGTTCTAGATTTGGTCAGAGCTTCTCCTCCCTACACTAGTAAACAAAGGAGAAACCGTGGTTGCTTGAGGAAGAGGTGATGGGAAAAAGGAAAGTTGAGAGATGCAGAAAATATGTTCTATTGCTGAAGCCTCCCGTGATGTTTTGTTCCCTTGTCTGTAAATTACCAACTCTACATAAATGAAATGAGAATATAAAATTGTTGTGCTCAATTTATCACATCACTTTACTCATGAATATATTGTCTCTTCAAAATTGTGCATATTCTCAAGCTGAAACTTAAAAAGGTGTGAAAGTATAATACATTATGGTAAATGTATTATAATGCATAATTTTTATATAATTCCTGTGATCTGCATGGATTCTGGAAACATGGTAACTTTATTTCTACCTAAAAATAATTTCAGGAGCAGACATGGTAAGCATACATAATGAAGAAGAAAATGCTTTTATACTGGAGACTTTGAAAAAGCAATGGAAAGGCCCAGATGATATCCTACTAGGCATGTTTTTTGACACAGATGGTAAGTAATATTTACCTTGTAGGAAACCACTTTTTTTTTTTTTTTTAATGGTAACAAAACTGGTAACTTTGAGATTCTTCAGTTCTGTAGTTCAAGTTGATGTTTCCTGTAGTCTCTGGGTATTCTATTTTCAGTGTGCACCTATGACCTATACTGCAACTCTTTCCTGAGCAGCTGTGTTTCTTTTGTCCGGATTAAAATATGGTTCTAGGCTCAGCATTTTTGTAATATGGTAGTGTCATAAATGTGTCAACTGTAGGATATCGCTAGATTGAACTATCAAGGTTATATTATGTAAATGTATTTATTGTCCCTGTAGGAAACAGAAAGTACATGCATTATTACTGAAATGGAACTACTAAGGTTACTATTAATATTTTAATTTTCTTGGCTATTTCCCCCAAGAAAATGTTTTCATTATTTTCAAAAACAGGATCTTCTGTAGAACCTCTTTGAGCCAGTACCTCTCATTTGCTGGTACACAAGATATATTCCTCCTAATTTAAATCCTACAACTAAAAGTTTTGAGCAGACATATCTTAGTAATTTTCCACCTTTAATCCCAGATCCTTTTCTTAGGCTTTCTTTTTAACTCCATTTAACACTGTCATAATGATAAAAATATTCTTAACTGACAGATGCAAGTTTCAAGTGGTTTGATAAGTCAAATATGACATTTGATAAATGGACAGACCAAGAAGATGGTGAGGATCTAGTTGACACCTGTGCCTTTTTGCACACCAAGACAGGTGAATGGAAAAAAGGAAATTGTGAAATTTCTTCTGTGGAAGGAACCCTTTGTAAAGCAGCTAGTAAGTATAACTGAAAACTTTTTTCCATTTCTAGAGGGATGGGGAAAGTAGGGCTGGTTTTAAAATGAAAATTTTTGAGACAAGTATGCCTCAATAAATTAGAGGGAGTAAGAAAGACTGCAGAATATATTAATTAGGATGCTATGCTCCCAAATCTTTTGGAAGTCCAATATAATTCTCATGTGAACCAGGCATACTTTCATTCTATCTGCTTATTCTTAGAGCCTGCAAGAGGTCAGAAATTTCATCTCTTGTTCAAAGGAATTATCATAGCCTCCTTGCATGTTATTGGATTAGCTACTCATGTCTTGATTCCAGAGTTCTAGCTAATGTTTAAAGAATTTGACCTTGTACAGGTACTAACATCCTTTGTTTAGGCAAATGAAGAAAAACTGCATTGTAGTCAATAACTTACTCTGGACTAAAATGTAATTTTTCTTCTGACCCATCAGAATGCTTTTTCTCCCCACCGCAATCCTGAGGTGCAAGCTCTGAACCTGGCCCCTGCCCTTCCAACCACCACCCCTGGGCTCTGGCCGTCCCCTCTTCCCCTTCAGAATGCTTTCTAATGGACAAAATTATTATGTCCCACAACAGTATTTTGATGTTATTGTTAAACATCAAAGCATGTTCCAAGTTTCAGAAAAAATTTATTAAAAACACTTAAAATTTCAAAATATGATTTTGGGATACTTGAAACATGACAGCCATTTCTCCACTTTGCATCTTTAGTATTTCCCCCCTTCTACTTCAACTGTAAACCAAAATTATTTTCCCCTTTTGATTTTTTTGTATGCCTCAGCAGAGTTCTTAACTACAGTTGATTATATTAAATTTATCACAGTTTTATGGTAGTGGAATTCCACTTCCAATATTTATTGGATTAAAAAAAATTTTTTTTCATGTACTAAGTATCAGGGCACATTTATATAAACCAAATTTTTAATTAAACTATAACTGAAACATCAGAAATAGTGAGCAAATCCATACTAATGGGGTCACAGTTGTATACTTCAATTTTATTAGGTTTGTCTTCTATAGAGCCTCTAACAAAAATTATTTTCCTCACCTCATCACTTTGAGTTTCCTTATTATTTCTCCACCAACCAAGCTAATACAGTTAGACCTCTACATCTTTAAAAAAAAAGAAACAAAAACAACTTTGTTCAAAATGGAAAACAATTGACCAAGCAATAGAAATAGGGATATTAAGCTACTAAATTTCATTTTCAACTATTTTGAAAGTGTTTAAAGGCAAACTTAGAATAAAGTATACATGCTTGAATTTTAATTTTCATTTTCTTTTGCATTTTAGTCCCATATGAAAAGAAATATTTATCAGGTAAGTAATGGTCTTTTGTTAAAAATCTTCCCACAAGTAAAAATACATTAAGATTCTAATGTCAAAATATTACTAAAGACCTCCTTAAAATTAATTATATAATTTTATAAAGTGGAACAACTTTTATAAGAATTTAGAAAGGTCTCAACTTAGTAATAAGACTTGACATCCTAAATATGGTAACTGCAAATATGTATGAATTTTTTAAAATACCAAATTGTATTTGCCCATTGAATTCCCTTTTTTGTGGGAAATGAGTCTGCAATCTTTTGTTTAAAAAACTTTGACCTTATAATTATAGTTCTTTAAGGATCTGTCTTAAGGGTTTACTAAATGCATTTTTTTTAAAGTTCATTTACTTTGAGAGAGCCTGTGAGCATGAATGGAGGGGCAGAGAGAGAGGGGAGAGAGAATCCCAAGCAGGCTCTGCTCTGTTAGCAGAGCCAGATGGGGGGCTTTATTAGGAACAGTGAGATCATGACCTGAGCTGAGATCGAGTTGGACACTTAATTGACTGAACCACCAGGTGCCCCTAAATGCGTATTTTTTTGAAAGAACAGGTAATATATTAACATGGTTGAAAAAGCAAAATAGTAAGGCAAATGCTGAAAAGTCCGTCTCCCATCTTGCCCCTGTCTACATTATTCTACTTTTATCCTTATTGGACACCAGCTCAGTTTCTTAACTGTGTTTCTTTTGCCAAGATCAGCAAATTGAGATATAGGACTTACTTTGCCCTTTTATTCACTAATAGATTCTAGGTATCGACAACTCATACTCTTCCATATATCTCTTTATGGATATAAACCAGCTCCAGACCCTTATTGGCTGGTTTCCAAACATTACAGTGCTGCAGTGAATGAATCTACTTGCACAAATACATTAAAGATTAGATTCCCTGAAATGCAAATGTTGGATTTGAAAAGTGGATGTAGAACTTTGATCGATAACATGGTTTTAGAATTGTACTATTTTGCATTCCCAGAAACATGTCTATTAAAAATTCTGTATTTTTTTTTTTGCCAATTGGTAGCATAATTTTTAATCTCTTTGAGGTGTGAATAAGATGCACAAATCTTAAGTGTACAGTTTGATGGTTGCCTCTGGATATACCTGGGTAACTACCTCTCAAATCAAGATAGAGCAAGAACATGCTACACCAAAAAATTTCCTTCATGCCCATTACCAATAATTGTATCCCCTACCATCATCTCTCCCAGAGTTACCCACTATTTTGAGTTCTATCACCATAGGTTAGAGTTGCTGGTTTAGAACATAGAATTCTACTGGCTTTTTTCACTCAAGAATTTTTTTAGATCCATCCATGTTACGTATATATTGTACTTATTCTACTGTTGTATAGTACTTTGTAAATGTATCACAATTTGTCCAATTTCCTATTACGTATATATGCATCATTTCTAGTTTGGTACTAAAATGATAGAACAGCCTGTGAACATTCTCATTTGGACCTATTTTCTCATTTTCCTTGTGTATATTCCAAAGAGAAGAACTGCAAGGTCAATAGGGTAGCTAATATGTTTGGCTTTATTAGAAACTACCAAGTAATTTTTCAAAGTGGTTGAACTGCTACATTCCTACTGCACATCCATCCCATGTAAAGTCCCATCTAATTTCAGCCATTCAGGTGTGTGTAATCATTGATTTTCATTTCCCTGGTGAATAATGTTGAGCACTTTTATTAGCCATTTCATTGTTTTGCGAAATGCCTATTCAAGTCTTTTGTCCTTATTTTTTATTGGGTTGCCTTCTAAATTGGTAGTTTTTTTGTTTTTAAAAATTCTGAATTGGCATTGTCAGATGTAGATTTTCTAATCTGGGGCTTGCTATAACTGTGATGGAAGAGGAAAGGAGTGTTTGAGAATTCGTGTGCATATTGGAGAATTAAGTTCTCACTCTTCAATAGGAGGAATAAATACCTTAAAGTATCAACCAAAGGGGCATCTGGCTGGCCCAGCTGGTAGAGCACTTGGCTCTTGATCTCGGGGTAGTGAGTTGCCCCATGTTGGCACAGAGCTTAAAAATAAAATCAAGCAGGGTGCCTGGGTGGCTTAGTCGGTTGAGCGTCCGACTTCGGCTCAGGTCATGATCTTGCGGTTGGTGGGTTCAAGCCCTGCGTCAGGCTGTGCTGACAGCTTGGAGCCTGGAGCCTGCTTCCGATTCTGTGTCTCCCTCTCTCTGCCCTTTCCCTGCTCATGCTCTGTCTCTCAAAAATGAATAAACGTTAAAAAAAATAAAAAATAAAAAATAAAATCAAGCAGAGTACCACCTCACATCTATTAGGTTGGCTACCAAAAAAAAAAAAATATATATATATATATATATATAACACATACACATACACACACAAACATATATACACCTAATAACAAAAAACAGAAATCAAGTATTGACAAGGATATGGAGAAAATGGAACAGTTGTGCCCTATTGATGGGAATTTCAAATGGTACAGAAAACAGTAATAAATTCTCAAAAAACTAAAAATAGAAATACCTACGATGCAGCAATCCCACTTCTGGGTATATACGCAAAAGGAATGAAAAGAGGTATCAAAGATTTGTACACTCATGTTCATAGCAGCATTATTCACAACAGCCAAAAAGTGGAAGGTGCCAACCCAAGTGTCCATCAACAGATGAATGGGTAAGTAGAACATGACATATACACTATGGAACATTATTTAGCCTTAAAAAGGCAATTCTGACACATCCTACAACATGCACAAACTTGGAAGACATTAGGCTAAGTGAAATAAGCTGGTCACAAAAGTACAAATACTTGGTGATTCCAATGATCTGAGATACCTGGAGTAGTGGACCTACAAAAAGTAGAATGGTGGTTGACAAGGAATAAAACGAGGGAAGAATGGGGCATTACTGTTTAATACATAGTTTCTCAGGTTTGAAAGATGAAGAATTCTGTGGAGAAACAGTGGTGACAGCACATCAGTGTGAACGTACTTAACGCTATAAAACTGTGAACTTAAAAACGGTTAAGATGGTATTTTGTTATGTTTATTTCACATTAAAAAATTAAATCAAGAAAAGCCGTGTAAGTATGTTATTTATAAGTATGGAGGCAAATAATCTTAAAAGGAATGGCTTTGATTAATGGGAATTCAGGGTGAGTGGCAGTGGGACAGGAGGAGCACAGTATTTTCTGACACATATCTTGTAGAACATTTGCATGTGTATATTTGGGTGAGGGGGAAGGATATTTACTGAGTAGAATATAAAAGGATACATAGAGATTTACGTACAAAAGTGTATGTAGGTTTATGATGGTTCTCAAAATCTTATCAGGAGTTGTTGAAAGAACTAGCAACAAAGTTGTCTTTGAATTCATTAAAAAAATATTTCATAAGACTGTGCAACTATTTGCCTGGCTTTCTTGATCCGTTTTCATCTAAAGGTCCAACACAAATAATACACCCCAAACCTTACCAAACTGTGACTGCTACAAACTTTAAAGATCAAAAAGGAGAGAATTTTCCTTTTAGTGGCCATTTTCTTCCTCCTAACTCCTAAACTGAGTTAATCTCCCTGGACTGACTGACTTATGGAAAGTTTATGAGGGTTTTCAGTAGCCAAGGACTGCAAGGTTGTAATTACTTCAGGAATACACACATATATATAGTTACCTGAATAAATAGAAAAAGGGAGATAATTCACTGCCATTCTTGTTTTTTCTCAGTGATAACAAATTTTAAATGCCAAAAGCCAGATGAACCAATAAGTTTCATTAATGTAAACAAGTATCTAAAGACAACTAGTCTTGAAAAGAGCAGTAAATAGGAAGTCTTAGACTAGGAAGTTAAAATACAAGGAAGACACGTAGAACCGTGATATACCCTGAGTGTAGGTAATTTCCATTTTAGAATGGAGAATTGTAAAACTTAAAATCTTAAGAATGGCAGTCATTCAAGCTAACAAATACAAATCTGAATAAGTGTAATTTTTTATTTTTCTCATCAGTGTGGGAAATTCTAATAGGCAAATATTTACATGATGAAACTGTATTTATGCCCCCCCCCCCAAGTGCAGTTCTAGCAACTGGGTGTCCTGATTTCCATATATATATATATATTTTTTTTTTTTGTCTTTTCCTTTTCAGATAACCACATTTTAATATCAGCTTTGGTGATTGCTAGCACAGTAATTTTGACAGTTTTGGGAGCAATCGTTTGGTTCCTGTACAAAAGAAATTTGGATTCTGGTTTCACCACAGTTTTTTCAACTGCACCCCAATCACCTTATAACGACGACTGTGTTTTGGTTGTTGCAGAAGAAAATGAGTATGCTGTTCAATTTGACTAAGATCTTGGAAATTTCAGATTAAGACATCAAATGTTGACAGCAATTTCCTGTACAGGATTTTAATGTAAAATTTGATGAAAATCAGTTTTCATGGTATATTTCCTTATTCCAGTAACATTCATTATTCTCATGTAATCGTGACAAAAACTGATCTTTAGGTTCATCATAAGTTTTTAAAAAGCAATGATCATAAATACAATTTGGTAGTTTTAACCACCTCCCTAAATGTACCTTTCACTTAAAAAAGTTTAAATAAAGCCCAAAGTAGTAAAGTAGATAAAAATAAAAACCCAGTCTACTGCTCTATCTTCCTTCCCATTTGGTTGAACCACCTTAGGTTAGAATTGGGAAAAAAACAAAAACAAAAATAACTCCTACTACCTACCACTGTAGTTTTAGCAATCACCAGGTCTTAACCAATTTCTAGGTCTTGCTCTTTTATTAATAAACATGAGAAAACATACCTTTAAAAAGATCCTATACATTAAGACGTCACACATTACAATTTACTGTGGCAGACAATTCCCCTAATTTTATCTTCCCTTTTGAGTTAGATGTAGAAAATTTTTTAGATTTTAACCACCCCATATTCCACATTTTAAAATTTCATTACTTTTAGAACATCACTTTGGACAAGAAATCTTATTTTGTACTAATAACAAATGGTTAGAATGTCAATGAAATTTTATAAAGTTTTTGAAGCAAGAAGGATTACAGCCATACCAGGAAGGTGTGGAAGTGGATGGCAGTGAGGATAATGCTTTGATCACAGAGCCCCTTTATTTAAGAATATTTCTTCTCTACCTCCAGATCTGTTCCTATATAAGGTGTGTCAATGCTCCCTGAACACTGATGAACTGTCATTCAAGGACATGAAAACTAGGTTAGCAAAAACTGCAGAAAAACACTACATACTACTGTAGTTGTGATGTTCAAAGTTCTCAGTACATGTTCCGTACATCTTAAGACAAAGGTGAGAAGAATCTTTCTGGGGGTAAAAAATGAAAACGAGAGCTGAATCAAGAGTGATTTTCCTTAGCATTCTTTATAGCTTAAAAATACTAGAAAAGATAAATATATGGAGTTCACATAAAATTAGATTTACTGTATTTAGAAACCCTGAAAGCTCAAAGTAGTAGTCTCTCTCCCTAACCAATGTCTCATCAATTATCTTATGGGAAAAACTTTTCTTATGGGGAGATACACTATCTCAAGCTTGACCAATGGCAACAAAGTCTCAGCTTACACGATGTGTCCACTGGCATTACGAATAACCTCCTTCATCACAATTAATGGCACTGTTGTTTAATGACATAGGAAAAACTACAAAGTGCTGACAAGACTATATGGCATGGCTGTGTGGTACTAAAAGAACAGATGTTACACTAGCCTTATTACACAAAACAACTACACTCTGTAAGAGCTTTACATTTCTAAGTTTTTGGATACTATTTTATTCTTGGTAAGTTATTAATAGTGAACAGATTGGAATTCCTTCCTTTTTCTATTCAAATTCTACCAGTCATTTAAAAACTAAGATCTTAACTCTTCCTTAAAACTTTCTCTAATAGTCACAGATTTCTACAGTATCCAATATGGTAGCCACAAGCTACATGTGGCTATTTATGTTAAAATTAAATATAAAGTTCAGTTTCTCAGTTGCACCAGCCACACTTCAAATGCTCAAACACATGTAGCAGCTACCGTAATAGGCAATACAAATTACAGAGCATTTCCATTTCCATCATCACGAAGTTTTACTGGACAGTGCTGCTCTAGAATCTCCCCTTCCACTTAACTCCCATACAACTAATTTTCTTGTTCATTTTGATCACTTCTACCCAATGGCAGCTCTTACAAAACGGCTACATTAAACTGATTTAATTTTCCATATTTGATTTCACTTTTCAAGTAAGTCCTTAGAGGTCCCTGGTTAGTGAAGTGTTAAATCTTAATTTTCTTCATACATCAGAACATCTGTAACAGGGCCTTTGCATCTATTCAGTGGTCAACAGCAAACTGGGTCATTCAAGTTTGTATGTATATTTTTAATATTATCAACATAACCATGCTTATTTATATTCAAAATGTATAAATTGCTTTCTTCAACATCTTGGTTTTGGTTAATAAGGACAGTATAAATTCTTACGTTTGGCAGGTATCTAGAGAGAATAACATTAAACTGCATTTTCCTAGGAATTTGCATTCTCTGTAGTGAGTGCTCTATGGTCTATTTCTGTTTATATGGTTTTAAAAGTAATTCACACGTACAGGGTATCAGAAGCTTATGCAATATTGAAATATGAAATAGTAAGCGGTACTACGGAACTGAAAGTATACTATAAAGCTCAAGCCACTGTATTTCTGGCATTAAGCATTTAATATGACAATAAACTGCATACCAATGGAATGTTTTCTACTAAATAAAAAAAAAATAACATTTATTTTTGAGAGACAGCGAGTGAATGGGGGAGGGGCAGAGAGAGAAGGAAACACAGAATCCAAAGCAAACTCCAGGCTGAGCAAGCTGTCAGCACAGAGCCCGACGCGGGGCTCGAACGCACAAAACAGGAGATCATGACCTGGGCCGAAGTTGCACACTTAACCAACTGAGCCACCCAGGCGCCCCCTACTATTTAAATTTTTAAGTAAGTTTCGTGGGTTAAGTAGAAGATACTTAACTTTCATGCTGAGTCTATTAAAAGTGTAAATGTTTGAAACTCAAAGCACCCCTTAAGGGCCCACAGAATAGTGAAACTGGTATCCTTAATTTTGTATTTTTCCTTTAAGGCAATACAGAGATAACAGGTAAAAGTTGAGCAAATGTTTTACATTTAGGGGCGCCTGGGTGGCTCAGTCGGTTAAGCTGCTGACCTCGGTCCAGGTCATGATCTCGCAGTCCGTGAGTTTGAGCCCTGCGTCGGGCTCTGTGCGGACAGCTCAGAGCCTGGAGCATGTTTCAGATTCTGTGTCTCCCTCTCTCTGACCCTCCCCTGTTCATGCTCTGTCTCTGTCTCTAAAATAAATAAACGTTAAAAAAAAAAAATTTTTTTTTAATTTATATTTTTGTATGAATTGGGATTTTACTTCTTAAAAAAGCTTTAAGGTTTGAAGTCTACTTTGAGCACCACCAGTTCAAAAGGAAACATTTCAAACTATAAAGTAAATCAATCAGTATGCATTTTATTTCCAGCCAAGGTTTTACATTAAGACAAACAAAGTGTGGCCAAACTGTTGACTCACATTTGAGAAATTACATGGTTTCTATTTAGGTTCTGAAAATGTAGTTAGTTGCCATAACATAAGACTATTTAAATCTGAAACCACCTGAAGGTGTTTAAAAGTATATCCTAAAGGGTGTTGACAGAGGAAATATATACAGTGTTATGAAACTTTATACACAACTCCTGACCATGGTGTAGATCTATTCATTGGTGAACAGGTGATGTTCATCTGTTCTCCAAAAGTGGTGAAAAATATTAAGTCAGTAAATAAATGCTCAGAATTACCAAGGAACAGTTAAAAACGACCAGGATCCAAACAGGTTATTTATATCGTATTTATCTATAAAGAAGTGACAACACTAAAAAACACATTGAAAACCAGTGTTTTAAACTTGAAATGTGGGATTTAAAAATATTCCATTAACTTGAGATTGCAGTAATTTTTTTTCCCAAATAGCATTTGATGGGCAATTCCGATATAATTTACAGCTGTAATACTCCTAAAAGGAATATCTACATACTATGGCTTATCAAATATAATCTGCATTTTGCAAATCAATACAAAAATTTATCCATCATTTATACATTTTATATTTATATACTTCTTAAAAATTAGATTTTATTGCTAAGTGAATTTAGGATTCATATTAACTTTGGGAACCTAATATATAATGCTTTCATAACTTCCCAATTATTTTTTTTATAAACACTGGAAGCAAATGATCATGAAAATGAGACTGTAACTTAAGGCATTTTTGAAAAGAAAAATAATTAGGTGCCATTTTATTTCAAAAGCATATTTTGTCCCACTTTTTTCACTAGCAAGAAACTAAAAACATGAACCATTTTTTTTTCATAAATATGACTACAGTAATCAAAACACAAAAAAGGTCATCAGCATTAGATATTTAAAACAAGGATAACATTTTCCCACTCACCGAAAAGAAAAATACTTTTGATGACCAGTTTATAAACATCAGATTCATTGGCCATGTTAAAAGGTCCAGGAGAATTTTTAATTCAGCAATACTTGAGAATATCTAAATATATATATATATATATATATATATATATATATATATACACACACATATACATATATATATATATATATCTCCAATAGGCATTCCCCACAAAATTAAATCATACGTAATTGCCAGTTTTAATAAACACTTGTTCACAGATCATCCATTTGTCTTATATGAAGTTAGGCAATATCAAATGTTCTGTTATGGTCTCCATCTTCTTCGGAATCATCCTCTGAAGCTGTTGAAAGAAAACAGGATGATCAAGAATGATTTTAAGGGGGATGAGAATGGATGTGTAAATATGAAGCCAGAACAGCAATGACTTGTAAAATAAAAAAACCCAATTTAGTATTCTGTTTGGTCAAATGATAAGTTATGACAGGGTTAGGGGTGGTTTGACTGTGGGTGATGCCCATCCATAATGCTCCCACCCCCACATCTTTTTATGTTAGTTTTTATAAAAATGAGAATGCTTAAAAATGTGCTTCAAGAACGTCTTCTAAAAAGCTTCGGAGATCAGCCTGTGTTCACAGTAGCTAATGATTTAGACACTAGAGAAAAAAATGAACTTAAGGCAAGTGCTCTCACACACCTGAGTAGAATCTGGTTTATTACCGCTGCATGTTTGATGCATCCGATGAGAATGAAAAAAAATGTACACAGAATAGGTTATGGGTATTCTTGCAATTTACATCAAAGCTATGTCTATACAATGCCAAGAAAAAGCTCTATTTAGTCCAAAAAGCTTTTATATAGACACAGCCTAAGTTAAACAATTGGATTTAGTAAAAAACTTTTGAGATTATTCCTATGCCTCTACATTGTCAGAAACATCATGTTTGTAACATTTCTGACCTCAATTTAAGAGCCATTGTAGTAGCTCAGAAGTTTAAAATAAACATCCTGGAATGTCTATAGGAGGGACCTAAGTATAAAACTATGGATTCTCTAAACTGTTATGTGTTGAGGAAAATGGAATTCACTAAAATAAACACCCAACCGGCATTTCCCCTATTATCAAGGGCAGAAAGGTTAAATGTATACTCTTCTTGTATTAATATTAGACCCAATATTTAAGAGCACCCAACAAATGGAATCAACAAAAACATCCTACATGTATGGATGAAACTTAAGTTTTCATGTTTCAATTTATCTTGCAGAAATCTTCAATCCATTTTTAGTAAATGATAGCAAGCATATACTTGGCTCATGAATGAGTAAATCCTATGGTTAAGTTTTATGCTATATTATGGAGAAATAACAAACTAAGAAATAAAACAGTTTTTCAGAGAACTTCTCATGTTTTCTATTCAATTAACTCCACAAGAGAAGAAAATTCAGTGAGAACCAACTTTTAGAATACATTAATATTCTGGTACTTAGGAGTAAGCTTGTAGCACCCACAACAGCTTTTACTCTCAGCTGAATCTGGGTATATTTCACCTCTGTCTTTCTTACATGTTGGCAGTAGACACTGCTATGTTTAGGAAACTACTAAATGTTAGTTTAAAAAAAAGTAAAGCAATCTGGGGAAAATATTACTATCAACTAAAACAAATTACTACCATCACATCTGGCAAAGTATGAATTGTAATTTGCTAAAAGAGATCTTTGTGTTAGGTAACATAAGGGATGTGAAGAAGTTTATATAAAAGAAAAAAAAGATGTACACCAAATGAATTCCCACTTTATATACCAGACTCCTTTATATACCATTTTCACACATACTAAACTGTAAAAAGGCATCTGGTTGTACCTCTAATCCTTTCAAAACTTAAAAATAGTACAAACTTAATGACAACAACCCAAGTCTTAGAATATTCTAGGAATTAAAAGGCTCTCATGAAGACCAAGTCCTTCTCAAACTTTACTTCAAAGGATGCTGAGCTTTCCCTAAAGGTAAAAAAAAAACACGCACACTACAGGTAACACTCCACAAGTGTTTTTAAGACGAGTACAGAAAATAATCAAGTGGAGAATATATATTTTAAAACACTTCCAAGAGTGTAATGGAATCTGATCGTGGGGAGCCAGTTGCTTTGGGTGAAAAAGTACAATAGGTAGGGTAATCTTGAATTCCCAGGAACTGTTTCAGAGCCACCAATATCTGTGCCCACCTGGTACGAAGCACCCTGGAGGTTGTAGGACTTTGAGGTTAAGCTGTGCAGATGCCTGTAAAGATTTGGGCATTAAGTGCCTTCACATGGGAGCCCAGGCAGAAGTCCTAATGCTGGAACGTGATCTTAAGAGATTGGAGTTGCTGTCGGAGCTGGCTGCCTATTAAAGGTCCATGAGGACCTGAACAAGGAGCAAAAAAAAAACTATGGCTTCTGTTACGGACTCAGAACTAGGAATCTTTCACCCCTATTTTCCTAGAACTATATACAAACCCAGGGAAAACTTTTAATGATCTAACAAAGATGAATAACAAAATTTCTCTCTCTCTCTCTCTCTCACACACACCTAACAGATTTAGAAGTGTGGTTTGACCAGAAGTTTTCTTTTTGATTAAAATTAAGGCGATCAAGGGGCGCCTGGGTGGCGCAGTCGGTTAAGCGGCCGACTTCAGCCAGGTCACGATCTCGCGGTCCGTGAGTTCGAGCCCCGCGTCGGGCTCCGGGCTGATGGCTCGGAGCCTGGAGCCTGTTTCCGATTCTGTGTCTCCCTCTCTCTCTGCCCCTCCCCCGTTCATGCTCTGTCTCTCTCTGTCCCAAAAATAAATAAACGTTGAAAAAAAAAAATTAAAAAAAAAAGGTGATCAAAAGTAAAAATTTTAAATAAAACACTAGTTAAAATATATCCTTCTGTACCTTAAAATTATTATTTTTTAAAAATATGCTTTGAAAAAGGTCAGTTGCCCAACCCATCTTTCCCAAATCAGTTATTATGGTATTACTACGCCTATAAATGAAGCTCTAATTTGGTAGAAAGCGTATACAGTAAGGTTTTGGTCTGTGGATTTAATTTGCAAAAGAAATTCAACAAGTCTGGGAAGGGGAAATTCCACCTACTTTCGAGATCTTCCATATGTGCCTGAAGAGTTCTTGCAAGGTTAATAAACTAGAAACAATGCAGAAAGAAATATAGTAGTTTAAATGTTGCAAATTGATCTAAAAAGAGAATCAGTATAGGAGATTCATTTCTACTTTAAAAAGTCAACCACCATTTAAGCCTTTAAAAGAGGGGTCTTTCTACCCCCACATCAAAAATTACAAGCTTAAAATATTTTTTAACTGTTGTATATAATCACCATTATATAAATGGTCATGTAGAAATCATGAATCACGTAGAAACTGAAAGCTGCTATAATAAGATAATTTTATCTAATGGCATTTCTGTCTTGCATAAATACAACACTTCAAAAAATTATGGAGAAAAAATTAAAACCATTACAACGTGGACACAAATGAACACTCTTAGTGGTCAAAAAAACAAAACAGGAACAATTTTATCTTCCTGTCTAAATTTGATAGCTCCAGATGTATTACATTTATTTCAATACTTAAAAAAAATTTGTGAAAATGACTTCCACTTTAATAATTTGTACCTTTTACAAAGGCATGAATTATATGCTTTATATAAAGGTTTATTCATTTTGAAAAGATAAGTTACCTTTTAGGAAATCATCTTATGGCATCTACTATATTTAGGTACTACGATTTCTAAAGTACTTAAAAGTCCAGAGATCTTTGCTCAAATTATAAATGCTCTTGATAGTTCATTCTCTTTTCTCTCAATGATAATAATCTATCAAATGGCTTACAGGAATGTTCACATGAGGATTACAGAAAAATGTTTTACCAATTTCCAAACTATATATATTTGGTAATTTTGATTATTTGGTAATTTTCAAGATAAAACAAAAACATTACACCTACCAGAAATTTGGCTCCATTTTTAACAAAGTGAAAATTTAAAAAATAGTCTGAAGTATATGTTTATGAACACATTTCAAGATATGAAGTGTTCACAATACTACAGTACTGATGCAGGCCCTAGCCCCTGCCAAACAAATTGGGCAAGGCAGAGAGTATAAATTTCCTATGGTACACTGAGATAAGTAGTATCCTACACTCATAAGCACCTAAGAGACAGCCAGCTCAAGTGTTAACATTAAGGTAAGAGTGTACAGAGTAAACACACAATAGTCCGTATCTTAAGTAGTTTCTAGTAATATGAATACTTAAAAATTAGTACACTGCTAATCTTTTACAGGATAGTAACAAATGAAATTGAAGTTAATTTCCCATACTCTTTTGGTTTTTGGAGTTCAATTTAATAATGAGTTGTTTTTTTCCCCTCCCAAATGAAAAAGAGCATTTTCCCTAGGTATTTTCAATTCCATCCCTGTTTTTCACTAAAATATATTCCAATTACCTTCAAGAGCTAGAAAATTACTTCTTTAAAAATAGCTTTTCGAAAAAATTAGCCTGCTTGATAAAGAAGGAAGAAAGCAATTCCTATTAAATCTACATTATCTTTATTTTCAAGGCACATTTTAATATAAGAGCTCCCTAAAGAAAACAAAATGTAAACATGTAAGACAATCTGCTTTCCAAAGCGAACACTTACTGCATCACACCCTCCCTGCTCCCCCAACTCCAATATTACTTACTCGGACACGTGTGCTTGGTTCATTTGTATTTCCCATCATATCAGAAAAGCTTTGTTCGCACAAGTGCAATAACACAACTAGGTAGAGACCAGAGCTGATAAACTCATACTCAGCCTTCAACAGGAAAGCAAACGAGAAAAAAAAAAATGAAGAATGAAAAATTAGTAGAACTGAGATTGATACTTATAGCATACTGATAAACTAGAGGAAATGTATTTACATCCAGCTCCTAGGAAGAGTATAATGCCAATTATTGAAAAAGAAAGAGCTGTCTTTCATAGTTTCATAAAAGTTCACCAATTGCCATATAATGTATTCAAATAGGTGTGTGAATAACCTTTTCATTCTCATATAGTCTTCCTTTATGTAATGATTTATATAAAAGTGGGAAAAATCATTTGATGGTGGAATGAATGCTCTGGTTCCACATAAAGCTGAAAACTGATTTCATTACACAGATAGCTATAACTATTTGCTTAAAAATTACCATTTCATCTACAGCAAAAATCAATACATTATGTGACTAAAATCCTATTCTGACAGGTTGTTCATGTAATTTAATTAACTTAAAGGCAACACTAAATATAAAAATGAACTAAAAAAAAGGTAGTAAAGTAACTTCCTCATATCATTCACATAGAAATTTGCAATGGGTAAAAATAGATCTTTGGTTCAATGCTGTTCTGTTGGTTTTGAAGCTAAGAAAACAAATCATGAATATAGTGCTATTAAAAAATCTAATCTGTAACTGTTACACAGTGATCTCTAAATCGTATCATATTTTGATAACTTAAGAAATCTATGTTCTTAGTAGCAACTTCAGCAAGTAACTGGTTATAGATTCTTCAGAATACTCAACAAATTTGAAATTAAAAGTTTCTCTAAATGCTTCACTTCATTAACTTTGTTTGTTTTTAACTTAAAAGAAAATCATGCATCCAGAAGATTAAAATGTATTATAAACTAATCATTTAAAATGAGGGTATCTGTCAGACCACTAAAATCCATGATTCACTAAGAACAAAGATGTTAAAGCCAGAAAGCTTCATCAAGACTGTCATTTTCCACCTAATATTTCTCAATGCCTCTCAATTATTTAAGAGGTGGATCATTAAAATCCTTGAAGAACAAGAAAAATACTCTTGGCTGTACTGAAAAGCCAAAGAACCACCTTTAAGAGACATGATGGAGTACCTACAGAAAGAATGGAAGGAAAAAACCATTCTTTGAAACCTACTCTGATTTTGAGGAAAAAAATAAAAATATCTTTGCATCTTTCCATACTATTTCCTCTTGTTCTTTAAAATACCACTGTCTAGGGGCGCCTGGGTGGCTCAGTTGGTTAAGCATATCACTTCAGCTCAAGTCACGATCTCACGGCTTGTGAGTTTGAGCCCCTTGTTGGGCTCTGTGCTGACAGCCTGGAGTCTGTTTTGGATTCTGTTTCCTTCTCTCCCTGCCCCCTCCTCCACTTGCGCTGTGTCTCTCCCTCTCTCAAAAATAAATAATAAAGCATTTAAAACAAATTTAAGGGGGCGCCTGGGTGGCTCAGTCAGTTAAGCAGCCTCGGCTCAGGTCATGATCTCGCAGTCCGTGAGTTCAAGCCCCGCGTCGGGCTTTGTGCTGACAGCTCCGAGCCTGGAGCCTGTTTCAGATTCTGTGTCTCTGTCTCTCTGACCCTCCCCCGTTCATGCTCTGTCTCTGTCTCAAAAATAAACATTAAAAAAAAACTTTAAAAAACCCAAAACTTAAAAAACTTACAACTCTAGCTGTCTAGAGAGAGACTCCTTAAGAATTTAAGACAATTCCTTATTGAAAGTGGTACTCCTTTTGGACAACTGGCTTCATTAAGGAATAAAACAATAACTAGTATTAGAGTAGCATCTGTACTATATCAACTAATTTTTTTCATTCCTTAGATCAGTGATTCTTAACCTGGACCTAGGCAATTAGCTTCAAGAGATCTGGGAGTCCCTTAAATTATATGCAGATTTTGTGTCTATGTATATTTTGTAAAGAGTGTTCCTTGGTTTTAATCAGATTTTCAAAGGGTTATCTATATTCGCACATTTAAAGAGAGTGTCCACAAAAGATCATATATTGCATGTTTCAATTTATATGAGATATCCAGAATAGACAAAGTCAAATAGAACACAGATTGGTGGTTGCCAGGGGATGGGAGAAGGGGGAAATAGGGATCCACTACTTAATGGGCACAGGATTTTCTTTTGAAGAGATGAAAATGTCCTGGAACTAGAGAGAGGTAATGGTTGTGCAGTGCTCAAGTGTACTAGTACCAATAAACTGTTCACCTTAAAATGGTTACATTACATAAACTTCACTTTAATAAAAAAGGGAGAAACGTGTCCAAACACTTCATTTAAAAGGTGTTTTTCAAGCATTCATGCATTCTGTCACCATCACCTCTCTTTTTATCACAAATATGCTAATAAGCACACTTGGATAGTATGGCCCTAGAGTTATCCTCATAATCTTTCAACATCTCCCACCTGAATTTTCCTTTAAAAAGGAAAAAATACTGAGCTCTAAGTTTCAAGAAAAATTAGTGATCCAATCAATGGGGGGAGAAGGGAAGGAGAGATCAATACATACCAAAAAAAATCTGAGACATGAGAGGATAATATATGAAATAAAATTTTAGTATCATCAGAGAAATCCTGACATTATGTATTTGTAGTGATACAAATACTAAAGGAAAGAAAAACAATGTGAACTTGGAATAAATGATTTCACATAAGATAACTCATTCAACATATAGATGGAAGCGGAATGGGGAGGGTAGAGGGAATCAGACATGAGGAAGAACAGGGGATCATATAGGCACATAAAAAATTGTTCCTAACATAAAAAAAAAAAAAAACAGGATGCAGATCTGGGGTTTGGTGTTTCAATTATTTTCCAGTACTCAGAGGCATTCACAATTGAGACAGCTCTGGGGAGAGAAGGTTGGCATGCCTGCTTTGGGACCCATTTCCTAAGCTTTCCTTATTTTTAGGTTTATTTAGGAAGCATATGATGAATTTTACCTTACACTTAAAATTTGTGACTTTGTTATGTGCCTTGTGCCTTAAAAAGTTAGGGGGAAAATGAAAAATTATAGAATCATATAATACCTAATGTGGTAACAGAATTATATTAAAAACATTATTATTATTATTTTAATGCAGGTTTTCTGACCATGACTTAATCTTTTCTTCAAGAGTTGTCCTTTAAGCATAGAACAGACACTTACCAAATTAGGCAAAATATACTAACTTGTTCATTTGCATGAGCTCTATGTAGTTCATGAATATCAAAATCCTCCAGGTTAAGCTGCAACTTCTCTTTACAGAGTTCACAGGTGGTTACAGCCTCTAATGAAGAACCTAGTAAAATTAAAAGGAAAACTTAGTTTGCTATGTCTCCACAAAATACTATTCCTTGTAAAGTTTTAAGCTTAGAATATAGAGAATCAAAAGGGAGAAAGGAAGGAAGATTGCATTACTGCCATAAACCGGTAAGGTCTCCTAAAATAACAACTGGTTAACACTAATGTGGCTTGTCAGGTCCTAAGCTTATATCCATTATTTAGGTGTCCATTTTTTTCCTTCCAGAAATGCATGCTACCCCATCCTTGATGGTGGGAAGCTGACAATGGAACATCATCTGTACTTCCCGCTTCTTATTTAAGTACCTTGGCAAGATGCCATGAAAACAATGTTAAATAATGTAGTATCCTAAACAACTAGTTACCTATATCCAGGCCAGTATCTCTGATGTGACAATATACACCTAAGACCTTTTGTCCTCTAAGAAATGTGCATTCCCGGGGCGCCTGGGTGGCGCAGTCGGTTAAGCGTCCGACTTCAGCCAGGTCACGATCTCGCGGTCTGTGAGTTCGAGCCCCGCGTCAGGCTCTGGGCTGATGGCTCAGAGCCTGGAGCCTGTTTCCGATTCTGTGTATCCCTCTCTCTGCCCCTCCCCCGTTCATGCTCTCTCTCTGTCCCAAAAATAAATAAACGTTGAAAAAAAAAAAAAAATTAAAAAAAAAAAGAAATGTGCATTCCCTGTAAGCTAGGAGGGAACAAAAGGAATCCACCTTTGTCTAGGTAAAAACAGCTCCCTTCAGTCATAAAAGGAACGAAGTCTTGATACATGCTACAACATGGATGAAAGTAAATAAGTTACCAGGGATTCAGGAGAAGGGGAGGTGGGAGCTGCTGCTTAATGGATGAAGAGTTTTTGTTTTGGGGTGGTAATAAAATTTTGAAAGTAGATAGTGGTGGTGGTCACACAACATTCTGAACATACTCAATGACACTGAATTACACATGTAATAATGGTCAAAAGGGAAATTTTACTTTATATATATTTTATCACAAAAGGAAAAAGAGTTCTTTCTGTCCAATATGCAGTTACTGGTTACTCCTAAACTTCTGGCTCCAATTAAATCATTGGTAATTTTGTCTAATTAAACATATAGCCATTCTACCCCATGCTTATTTTTAGACAGCTTTAAACTAAAATATACATACATATATATATATATCCTAAAAGTGTGTGTGTATATATATATATGTATATATATCCTAAAAAAAAATACACACACACACACACACACACACCCTAAAAGTAGAGAAGTCATGTGATTAACAGGGTAGAAGTTTAGATTCAATTAACATTTGTTGACTGTTATATGCCAAAATTTAGAAGGAAAAAGAAAAGTAGCAACCTCTGCCTTCAAGCTCTTAAAGCTCTTAAACAGTAAAATCTGGCATAAAGTCTAAGACAGCAGTAATTTATATGCATTTTCTTTTGAAAATAGTTGAACAGAAAGTGAGTGCTATTCTGAGGTAGTATGTTCTCTGTTGTCTCAAAATGTCCTGTAGTCAAATTACATTAAGATAGTCACTATATTTCCAGTATATGATTAAAACCAAGTTGTTGTTGCTGTTTTAGGAGTCTAACATACATAGAGATACTGAAATTAAAATGCATCTGGAATATGTGAATTAAAGACAATTAATATTGTACCACTGAACTAAATTCAGGATAAGTCCATACTATGACTGATGGAAAACAAAGAACGTGAAAGACATTTATCAGACATTTGTTTTTAAAATTTTTAATGTTTATTTTTGAGAGAGAGAGAGACAGACAGACAAACAGAGAAAGAGGGAGACACAGAATCTGAAACAGGCTCCAGGCTCTGAGCTGTCAGCACAGAGCCTGAGGTGGAGCTCGAACTCACGAATGGTGAGATCCTGACCTGAACCAAAGTTGGACACTTAACCTACTGAGCCACCCAGGCGCCCTACATTTATCAGACATTTCTTAGAACTATTCTCTGATTCAGAAGCAGGAGAAGTGTGATTATAAAATATGGGCCTTTGAGATCATTTAGTACAAATTCTTTCACGTTTTAGTGCTTCATGTTTTTTCTTCTAGGAATTAAGTGACTTATAGAACAACGTTCAGTAGATCATATACAGCTCGGAAAAGCCCGTTTATCCCTACATGTTTAATCTAGGGCTCTTTCCATTAAGACCCCACCTCATTCAGTAGGCCTTGACTGCCCTGACTGCATTCGCCTCAACTTGTACTAGACTTGCTTTATTCATTTTCGCATACCCTGAGAGTTTAACAGTCCATACGTGACAGCTGCTTAATAAATGCTTAAAATCAATCTCTACCAGAATGAATCTTCTACTAGATGGGGTCTTTACGTAAGTATGAGAAAGCCTTTGTGAAAATTTATCAAGAAGGTTCAGTTCTTGAGATCTTTACATTCATCTGATCATATCTTAGAAAGCTTATTAATAATCTGGTAACACCCTCTAATTGAGTATTTACCACATGCCCAGTACTGTGAGAAACTATTTATAAATGTCATCTCATTTGACCTTCACAACAACCTTATGTGGTAAGAATTACTCAGTTTTACTCATAATGGATCTGAGGCCCAATCGCAGACCTACTTAAGAACATTCAAAAGTAGATCTAAGGCATCAATGTTTTTTAAAACTCTAAGGGATAATTTTGATCAGCAGCCAAGGTTGAGAACCAATGTTAAAAAAAAACTTACTCAAGATCCTTCAGTTAAGTTTTAGTGCCATTATTCCAATCTAGGCCTAACAATGTTCTTAACACACTGTATCAACTGTTTTCCTGCCTACACAACACTAAATGTCTAACTGCAAAGGTATTAGAAGGTGAGTCAACTTGTTTCTCATTTTGGTAATGGCTAACACATTGCTGGGCCCTTACTAAGTGTCAAGAACAAATGCTACCATGCTGAACATTCATTTAATCTTGATAATGGCCCAGGACATGATAAAGCCAAGAAGCTATCATACCACCGTACAGCTAAGAAGAAGCTGCAACAGGTGAGATGGGTCTTCCCTCACAGCACTGGGATCAGGCTAGTTTAAAAGAAAACATAACCTCCCTACCCCAAAGGAGGCCTTGGCTACATAACTACAAATTTTTCCCAGGAGCCTCATAATCTCCAGCTTGAACAGGTTACCCAAGTCTTCCAAAATGATGATTAAAATCAGTATTAATGGGGCACCGAGGTGGCTCAGTTGGTTGAGCATCCGACTTCGCCTCAGGTCATGATCTCGCGGTTCCTAGATTTGAGTCCCGCATTGGGCTCTGTGCTGACAGCTCGGAGCCTAGAACCTGCTTCTGATTCTGTGTCTCCCTCTCTCTGCCCCTGCCCTGCTCATGCTCTGTCTCTCAAAAATAAATAAATGTTAAAAAAAAAAAAAAAAAAATCAGTATTAATGCCATCCTACCTCACAAATTATTTTCCTGTCACCAACTATTATCAGACCATCAATCTCATACAACAGCATACACTGGTGTGCCTGGGTGGCTCAGTCAGTCAAGCATGTGGCTCTTCTTATCAGCTCATGATCTCACGGTTCGTGTGGGGCTCTGTGCTGACAGCATAGGGCCTGCTTGGGATGCTGTGTCTCCCTCCCTCTCTCTCTCTCTGCCCCTCCCCTGCTTGCTCTCTCTCTCTCAAAACAAATAAACAAATTTTTTAAAATTGTGCACATTTGGGGCTTGGGTGGCGAGTCGGCAGCCGTCCTGACCAGCCAGGTCATCTGCTGTCTGAGTTCAGCCCCAGCTTGGGCTGATGGCTCCAGAGCTTGGAGCCTGTTTCCGATTCTGTGTCTCCCCTCTCTCTGCCCTCCCCTCACTCATGCTCTGTCTCTCTCTGTCGCAAAAATAAATAAACGTTGAAAAAAAAAATTAAAAAAAATAAATAAATAAAATAAAATTGTGCACATTTACTAATCTCATCTAATTTCCCACCCTTCTCACCTTAGGAGTCATTTTTACTTATGTCCTCTGGTACTCATGGTCTAACAAATTTCTCTCAACTTTAAAATTACCCTCACTCTCTCTCAAAATAAATAAACATATGTGAGGGGTGCTCAGGTGGTCAGGTCAGCTGCCTGACTCTTGATTTCAGCTCAGGTCAAGATTTCATGGTTTTGAGTTTGAGTTTCAGACGGGGCTCTGCACTGAAGAAGCCCAGAGGCCAGGAGCCTGCTTCTTATTCTTCCTGCCTCCTCTCCCTCCAGCCTGGTGAACTCTCTCTCTCAAAATTTTCATCACGACAGCAAGCTGCATTACTTTTGAGAGAGAGAGAGAGAGAGAGAGAGAGAGAGAGATGATGCCATGGGAGGAGCAGAGAGAGAGGGAAACTCAGAATCTGAAGCAGGCTCCAGGCTCTAAGCTGTCAGCACAGAGCCGGACACAGAGCTCGAACTCACAAACTGAGATCATGACATGAGCCCAAGTCAGACACATCATCGACTGAGACACCCAGGCGCCCCAAAAGAAGTAATATTTAAAAAAAAAAACACAGTACAATACATTAAATTTTGAAGCAAGATTAATGAAGTTCATTAATGCTTTTGCTTCAAAAATTAATTACCATACTTTTGATAAGAGTATAAATTTGACAATCAGTAAATTATAATCAGATTTGGTAACTAAAACGTATATGTACGTGCATCTCTTGGAAAGACTGCAAAAACAAAACACACAAAAAGGTAAATCTTACCAGAGTTAATTTTGGCCTGTAACCACTTTTTCATACAATCTTGGTGAACATACTGCAAGCTTCCCGTGCACTTGCACGGCTCTATCAGCAAGTTAGATGATGATGCAGCTGCCATCTGACAAATTCTACATAAGTCACCTTCTTCTTCTTCAGAGTCCTCTAAAAGGAGGCTAGAAAAGAAGGAGCATCTTGTAAATACAGCTATCAAAACTCATCCTGGTTGGTCATTTCAAATCATACATAATCTCAAACAATATTTTTGTTATTTCTATTCATGTTCTAAGTAGAAAAAAAGCAAACAACCATAAAAAACTCCAACCACCATTAAAAACCAATTCAATGAGAATGAAAATGACAATAACTGTTTTAAAGGTAAATGAAACAGGATATCCTATTATTTACCTTCAAAGGCTTTAAGTGATTTTGTCTTTGATATCACACTTATTTCGTATCACACCTTATTTTTCACAATCACTTTACAAATATCCCAAGAAATTTTAATTTCTACAGTACCGTAGACTACTTCAGTTCCAACAGTATAAAGGTAATGTACTTACATACTTAGCACTTTCCTCCCCCATCTCCAAAAAAACATTTAGGACAACTTCAAAAAATTAAATATGGGCTTGTGTTTTTTCACTTACATGCTATCAGAACCACATAGGGTTAAACTGATAAACTTTTTGTGCTAAATCACAGTAAAAGAACAAAGACTTTTATTCATTTCCCCCACCCCTAGCAATGTTATTTATTTAATCATCCTCATTTCAACAGAGTAGGCTTTTAAAGTGTGAAGCAGTTTTCATTAACCTATGTCCTCTAACAGGCCCACATGTACTGCTTAATTTAAATGCAGAATGATAGCCATTTATATATATTTTACAAATATTTAATGTTTGTTTAAGTGCTTATTGCCTTAGTCCACTGCTGGCATGAAAGAAGTAACTCAGTAAATTACAACTGAATGCTAAACTGTTACTAAAATATAACATGGATGATACAGGTTCCTAATGAATTCAGCAAAAAGATGTATGGAAAGAGGATTAGATATACAACTGTTAGGTGATTATCATGGTCTGGTTAAGCCAGAGATATAACCTCAAGCATAAATATTTATGTTTTACCTTCAGATTTAACTTTCTCTGGCTTATACTTTCAATTATTTTTACTTAAGAGTTTCAATTTTTTAGACTCGTATTAATTTACTTGTGGAGTGTCTTGAAATCACATATTAGCAAAAAATATATAACGAAGGAATACGCACACACTATTTCTATGACAAAATAACCAACAAATACTGCTTTATAATCTAACCAGACATGGTGGTGCTGGCTTAGTTTGTTTCTCTTTGGAAATTACCAAACTAATGCTTTGCCCTCTGTTGAACCACTGCCCTCAAATTAACCTAACTTTGAACACAGGAAATATAATAGTTACTACATTTATCAGCAGACAGCTTATAATCAGAGGGAGTTACTATGACATTAAAGCTAAGACTACCAGGGCATCTTTTTTCAAGAAAGGAAAAATAGCAAACTTCAAATGCGGGAAGAGAATAGTCCCATGCTACAATTTGTCCTACATAAGGAAAAAAGGGAATGTAGTAGCCTAATATCCAACAACCCAGACTCTCTTTATCCCCAGAGAGTTACATTTTAATGTATTTCTTCTTAAAAAAATAAAAAAATCTAAAATAGTAAAAGCTATGCTTCCCAACAATCCCATTACATTAGTTATTTATGAAGAAAAAGCAACAAGTTAAAACACCCCACAACCTTAGCTTTACTTATTTTAATAAATGGAAAAACTAAGTACACTAAAATGACAAAATAAACAATCAAGTTGGGACTGAAATCTCTGATCTTTCATCTTTTCACTCTTACCAGAGATTTTTAAATAATCAACTGTACAAAGATTGTATCTGCATAAAAAGATTCTAAGTCCTATATTTAAACTACTATTTCTGTCAAATCAATACACAAAGAATATTCTGTGTACATGTACACATCAAAAACAAAATTTGTGCAAATGATTTTATTTTATCTCATTCCAGAAGAGTCTGAGATGAGATATACAAATAAATGGTAAATAAATCTTAACTAAAGGTAAGACAGATAGTTTTGATAATTTATAAACCACTGGGGTCCCTTTATCAATTCTACTTAGCAATGGTCTACCAAGGAACAGGGTGAGACATTAAGATTTTTTGCCTTTTTATGCAAAAAGCTGTATTGAAAGCTGGTTAAAAATAATCTTCAGACTATCTTGATGCAATCTACACCCCCAGTGCCTATCTTCATTATTAATTCTCATCCACTTTACCTCTGAGAATTTAACATCTTAGTGGGTATAAATCTTAAGGAAAGAAATTTCTGGTATGTTTCTTGTTATGAGAAGCCATTTTAGAAATAAAGATTCCTGGGGCACCTGGGTGGTTCACTTGGTTGAGCATCTGACTTCAGCTCAGGTCATGATCTCACAGCTCACGACTTTGAGTCCCACATCAGGCTCACTGCAGAGCCCCCTTCAGATTCTGTCCCTCTCTCTCTGCCCCTTCCCACTCGCATGCTTTCTCCCTTCAAAAATAAAAAAAGATTTCTTCCTCTAATCTGCTCTTGCTTTACAGACTTATGACAGGTATTCAAATTTACCTCTCTTTTATTTTCTGCAGTTTTTCTGGGTCTCTTGAAGGTGCACTTTTAGTTTTATCACTTTTTCCATCAGATGAACTCCAACCTGAAGGAATAATATCTACAGTGATCATGACATTGTCGGTCAAATTATTTCCAAGTGCTGGGGGGACTGCGAATCGAAATAAAGAACCAGGAAGGATCCCTGTTATTCCTGTATTTCTTCCACTGTGAGCTGAATCTGATGTGGAGCCACCCGTAGCAGTACTACTCGATGCTGCAGATGCTTGTGATCTGCTGGCAGTAGCCCCAAGGGGATCACTCTGTGCTTCAAGATGAACCACTTCATTTGATTCTCTTCTAAAAATATGATGAGATCTAGATGGTATATCAGAGGTAGGTACCCTTGAAGATTCATCTCGTCCCTCTCGTCTCCTTCTAGAGAACAAAGGTGTGCATCTATTTCTAAGTGAGGAAGATAACCATGGTCCTGTATTTCTACCTTCAGATTCTTGGTTAAAATTTTCTGAATCAGGCTCAGAGCTATGATTTTGGCTAAGAGATGACAAACCCCATCTTCGCCTAAGAAATCGAAATCCCTGAGAAGCTTCAGATGCCCTACTATCGGGAACATCAGAAGCTGACGCTGCATTGCTACGAGACTGTGAAGCTGTCAAGATTCTTGGAGAAACATAGGAATTTTCAGAACTCAATGATCTTGTATTCAAGGAATCCTGACTAGATCTTCGGGGAAAGAAGGTAGATGACATACTAGAAGCTATACGTGACAGCAATCTTCTGGTTGACCGTCTACCCTCATTGTCAGAAGAGTCTTGAAATGATCTTTGAGATGAACCAACCCTATCTGAACTGCTTATGGTTGAAGCTTCATCTCTATTTGAAAGATAAGAAAATCCAGGCTGTGTACTGCTTTGGGGAGATTCCAATTCTCTTGGAGAAAAATTTGACCGTAGAGAATTTCTATTAGAGTCCCTAGAACATGGTACAGTCTGATGTTCAGAAGGCATCTGGTGGTTTGTGGATGATGTATTCAACTGTAAAGTGCTCACTGAGTTATCTTTTGGTCTTGCTCCCTGTGAATATGAAGAAGGAACTCTGTCTTGAATATCTATTTTTGAAAGAAAAGAAAGATAACCAATTACATGGAATATTTTGAGTATTAAATTTAGAATTATTAACTAATATTTGCAAAATGAAACACTGCATTCAAACCAATACTGCTATTATTATGAATACACAGCTTAACTACTATTACAGAAAAAAACATAAATGTATTTCTCTTTTTATACTAAGTTAACACTGCAAACTGAAAAGAAAGAAATATATCATGGCTAATGAGACAAACATCTAAATCTACTAAATTAATGAAGGTATAACAGTCTGAATTTGTTAATCAGAAATTGATATGGTAAATATCTAACATCTAAATGGATAAGGAATTTTATTTTATTTTTAAATGTTTATTTTTGAGAGAGAGCGCGTGTGGGAGAGAGAGGGAGACAGAGGATCCAAAGTGGACTCTGCGCTGACAGCGGAGAGAATGATGTGGAGCTCAAATTCACAAACCATGAGATCTTGATCTGAGCCAAAGTCGAATGCTTAACCGACTGAGCCACCCAGGTGCCTCTAAATGGATAAGAAATTTTCAATGAGCCAAATAATTCACTGTAAAGGACTCTTACAATAAATAATGGCAAAATAATCCTAGGAAGACAGTGTTTTGGAGATTCTTCCTATACTGCAAGTATAAAAGTTATTTCATACAAATACTATCATCTTTAAGATTTTACGGCAAACCTTGGTTGACAGCTAAAAATTCCTGCAATCTTTTTTCTTTCAAGTTCTTATCTCTGTTACTTATCAGACATAGCTCTACTTTTCAACACTTGCTAGAAGCTAGGAGTCAGAATAGAGCCCACTACTGGTGGTTCTACACCTTAAAATGGGATGAGAAATACTACAGCATTCCTTTATAAAGAATTCTCATCCACACACTTAACTTAAAGAGTGAGATTGCTACTGTGCTAACACATGGACCTTCGTGAAGGGATAAACTGTTAGTGGCTAAATCTATTCTACCCTATACTTTTAGACGTTCAAACCTAGACGCCACTGATACTATATACTACAGCTCATACACCTAAAACCAAACAAATAAAAAGAGGTCTTCATTGGTCATGGCAAAGACTGCCCCAATAACTTTATTTAAAATAACTTACACAGGGTGTGCCTGGCTGGCTCAGTTGATGGGGTTGTGAGTTTGAGCTCCAGAATGGGTGAAGAGATTACCTAAAACAATTTTTTTTTTTTTTTTTTTTTTTTTTTTTTTTTTTTTTTTTTTTTTTTTTTTAGTTTATTTATTTTGAGAGAGAAAACACAAGCAGGGGAGGGGCAGGGAGAGGAGACAGACCGAGAGCCCCAAGCAGGTTCTGTGCTGTCCACACAGAACCCAACACAGGCACTCGATCTCAAGAACCCTGAGATCATAACCTGAACCAAAATCAAGTCAGACGCTTAACTGACTGAGCCACGTAGGTGCCCCAAACAAATGTATTTTCTTCTGTGTAAATCAAACTCCACCTCTGCCTGCTAGATCTGTCAACTTCAATAAGCACTTTTTTTAGTATTACTATTTTATGACATTTAATTTTGAAAACCTTAATACACTGACAGAAATAGTGTGGGTCTTTATTTCAACTGAATGAATAAAGGCACATTCATGTTAAACAAAAGTAATTCTAAATTATGCCTTAAAATGTTGATTTCAAGCTTTAGTTAGGTCAGAAATTTACCATTAAGTAGTTATTACACTATACAGTTAATCGCTGAACAACATGGATTCGATCTGCATAGGTCCACTTATCCACAGATTTTTCTGGTAAATACAGTAGGCATGATATATGTATTTCTCTTACGATTTTTTCTTTTCTAACATTTTTAATGTTTATTTATTTTGGGGAGGGCGGGTAGGGGCAGAGAGAGAGAGAGAGAGAGACAGAGAGACAGACAGACAGACAGACAGACACAGAATTCGAAGCAGGCTCCAGGCTCCAAGCTGTCAGCACAGTGCCCGATGCAGGGCTCGAACTCACCAACTGCGAGATCATGACCTGAGCCGAAGTCAGACACTTAACCAACTGAGCCACCCAGGCACCCCTTATGATTTTTTTAATGACATAATTTATTTTCTCTAGCTTACTTTATTATAAGAATTCATTATGTAACACATACAGGTATATGTTAATTAACTGCTTACATTTTTGGTAAGGCTTCCAGTCAGCAGTAGGGTATGAGTAGTAAAGTTTTAGGGGAGTCAAAAGTTATATATACATAGATTTTCAACTGCACCGGAGGAAGGGGCAGATAGGGGCCAGTGCCCTCACCCCTGCATTGTTCAAGGGTCAACTGTATAACGCAAATGATATTGGGGTATGCTAAAATTATTTAGTATACTTTACAACATAGTTTTTAATAAAATATTTTTCAATATTTATTTATTTTGAGAGAGAAAGAGTGGGGGAGGGTCAGAGAGGAGAGAGAATCCCAAGCAGGCTCCAAACTGACCGCACAGAGCCCAATGCAGGGCTTGATCTTACGAACCATGAGATCATGACCTGAGCTGAAACCAAGAGTGGGAAACTTAACTGACTAAACCAACATATATTTGCCCCAACATATATTTTTAGAAAATTATAAGCAGGCAAAATCCAGATACGACTGTACATCTATTTTAAGCTTTTTATTTTTTAAAGTATAAAAACAAATAAGCTAGTATACAGTATAAAAACATACTAAGCTATTTTGAAATCTCCGTAAGATGCACTTCATGTATTCGTTTCTACTGTCATTTTAGTAATACATACACAGAGGAAAATGTAACATTATTAAGCTATACATAATAATACAATTTATACATACATGATGAATTTGTGAAATCACCACCTCGGTGGCTATAATCCATAAGATTACTAATGGAAGAATCTGTTCTTCTCTCTAAATCTCTTCTCTCTCTCATCAAGTCAGTTCCAAATGATCCAAGTACCATTGATGAAGATCTAGGAACTTGATTATGCCTCCAAGAAGATTCTTAAAATAATGGAAGAAATTTTAATTCAGAAAATGCTTTCAAGATTTCTGATGACAGTTCTGTGGTATTATACAGGGAGGTTATCATGATTTGTTACATAGTTGCAATCAGAAGCAAAATTCAGCAAAACATAAAATTATTCACTAATGAACTCATCACTTATAAAATTGTTTCCTACTCAAATATTCTTCTCTAACACTACAATTTACCACCCATCCATGATGCCAATGTCTCAGTCACCTTCTAGAACACCTGACCATACCATGTGAGCTTGATGTAAAATAATTACAGAACAAAATGCAAAGCTGGTCAAAGATGCAGAATTTCCTGAAAAGTCAATGAAACTGATATTGGAGAACAGCCAAAATTAAAATCAAGCCATGTCAAAATGGAAGATGTTTTACTATAGCCACTGAAGATATTTTATCAGAAATATTATCATTGCCATCACACTTGCTTCACTTATTGTAAAAATTAACGTACTGTTGCAATCATAATCTAAATTTTTAAATGAAATCATATCTAACAAAATAAATTAAAAATAAGTCTGATAACTTTCCCCCCTAACTATTTACCTTGAAATTTTGTTTCTTCCTTTCCTAGTCCCAATAGCCTTATTGATTCCTCCTCATTAAGGGAAATGGCCCAGGGTATTTAATGCTATGCCTTCACAGAGTAGAAGAGACCAAAAGTATCTGTGCACAATGGTGTTTGTCTACAATGTTAAGGACAGTCTGCTCTTACCCATCACACTACTCTTAATATTCTTCAGATGGGCAGTGTCTTTCCCCAGGCGGTCCTGCCTATCAAAATAGAAAGGAATCGCTTACACTAATTCAAATGATAATACAAATGCATTTCAAGAATTTTATCTCCAATTGTGTCGTCACAAACTCTGTCTCACCTTAAAACTATTTCAGGCATTTCCTAGTGTTTCATTTGAAGAGGACTCTAAGTGAGGAGGGAGCCTCCTCTGCCCCCTCAAGAAAAAGAAAAGATGTTTTCAATTTGTGCAATAAATGTATGTCTGTGAGTACAAAATACCATGCATGGAACTTTATGGATAAGTCATCTAAATCCCAGAATGGTTAAGTGACTTGTCCAATGCCATACAGAGGTCTAGAATTGAATCATCGCTTTCAGATTCCTTATATATAGAACTCCAAATAGAATACCATCAACTATTTTGTTTAAAGAATTTCTATTTTTTCTCAATATAAGTATATAACACAATATTCACCATTTATAAAAGATATGCTTAGGTTAGGGAATGTTAACGTATCAGTACATTTGGCTTCCCTAGTATAACAATTAAAAAAAAAAAAAAAGTGACCTCCTATACAATAACCAGCAAAATACATGTCATTTTTACCAATTTGATTACCAAACAGATCAGCTATTCTAATTAACCAAAATATGTTAATCTTGTTTGTACAGGAAATCTGTATCAAATTTAGAAAGAAAATCCAAACTGAGTTAATTTTAGTTTCAGCACTAATAAGATTTTGAAATCTCCACTACATTTCTGACCCACTCTTGCATGCAGAACTTGTTTAATAACACTAAGTTTTGGTAAAAGGGATTTAGTCCATAGTGCATACATAATGACCCTTACACAAATTTAACTCTTACCTGATACAGCATTTAAACCATGTCCAATATTTCTCCCAGCAGAGGTAGATGTACAGTTTGTACAGGAAAGTTTAGGTCTTTTTGAATCATGATCCCGTTGCTGGTTTTGTGATCTTGAGCGTGCTCCCTGAGTTATCTCAGATTCACTATACCAAGTAGACTGAAATGGTGATGCTGATGCTGATGTAGACTATCAGTAAAAAAAAAAACAAAAAACAAAACAAAACAAAAAAAACGGTTGTAACGAACAACAAAATGCTTGTATTCAGTCTACTAAATTTATTCCGAATTCAATTCATTCCTCACAAGCATACATTTTTCTACTATGTAGGTTTTTCATAGTTTTTTGTTCCTTTCTACTCACATGACCCTTTACTTTATACTGTAATTATACTTTGCTAGGTAATCAATCTGATACAGATTAAATCTACTATGTAACTGTATATAAATACTTGTGTTAGAAAAAACTGAAGAACAAAATTCTTACAATCATTTTGTTTTCCTGATTTAATATTTCAAACTCCTGAGAAACCTATGTCCTTTCCTAAAGGTGAACAGAACACCAAGAAAATAATATATAAATAAATTATGAAAACTCTACTATAAAAACAAGATTTTTCAAATAATAAAAAATGCATCCTGGATCTACTGCCCAGAAATATTCTGTATTTTTCTCAGAATGTAAATGGTATTAAAAAAAAAAATCCTAGTATCTGGATTTTTTTCATCAGTGAAGCAAGAAACAGGTAAACATATACATAGTAAACATAGTATATATTAAAACTCTTAGCTCAAGGTTTTCTCTTTGAACACAGAAATATACACACACAAGTTATAGCAACCTGTAATACAAAAATTACTCGGAATGTACAAACTATTTCACTTCCTCCTAATTCTTTAATTGGTTAAAACAGTTTATTCTATGCAAGGCATAAAAAGAAAAAGGATTAGTCTATCCCTTTTTTTTTTTTTTTTTTTAAACGTTTATTTATTTTTGGGACAGAGAGAGACAGAGCATGAACGGGGGAGGGGCAGAGGGAGAGGGAGACACAGAATGAAATCAGGCTCCAGGTTCTGAGCCCATCAGCCCAGAGCTGACGCGTGGGCTCAACTCCCGGACAGCAGATTGTGACCTAACAGTGGGCTGGTCGATTTTAACTGACTGCGCCACCCAGGCGCCCCTAGTCTATCCCTTTAAATATGTAGATTTAAATAATAAGAACATATTCCAACATAATTGTTGAAAGTGTCCTTTTCGGGGCGCCTGAGTGGCTCAGTCGGTTAAGGAGCCGACTTTGGCTCAGGTCATGATCTCGTGGTCCATGAGTTTGAGCCCGGCATTGGACTCTGTGCTGACAGCTCAGAGCTCAGAGCCTGGAGCCTGCTTCTGCTCCTGTGTCTCCCTCTCTCTCTGCCCCTCCCCCATTCGCGTTCTGTCTCTGCCTTTCAAAAATGAATGTTAAAAAATTTTTTTTAAAAAAAGTGTCCTTTTCTATTATGCTTCAATTACAAGAAGCATACTGCATGGTTTCAGGGAACTATATATTATTCGCTCAGGGTACCTGTACAGAATAAGCCTTGCACACATGGAAAAGTAGAAGATGCAAAGCTGAATAAGTAGGAACAGGCCAGATCCAGAGTTCATCCATCCCTTGCCCATCCCTACTGCAAACTCAATGTGGCTTCAGCTTAGTACAAATTTGGTCTCACAAGCCTTCTGCACCAAGTCCTCCACAGAGCCTCAATGAATGAACTGGAGTAGCATTAGAGACGGAATTCATTAGATATTTCACAACCAAACTATTATGTGCCATCATCAGGGTATTAGGGACAATGTGTTATATAGACCACTGATTCTAAGACCTTTGGATTTCAGAGACCAAAATAAAGATGTTCTAATTTAAAATTTAGAAAGAATTGCCAGGCTGACAAGCAAGGAAATCTAAATTAGCAAATACCACTTAATCCCACTCCAACTTTTAAAAGGGACATTTTATATACTCCTCAAACATGACAACATAATAGAATAAAACAGACTTTTAAAGTGAATAAACTTTATTTGTATAAAATCTTTTCCTTATTTTTCTCCTCTTGCATGGACCAAATTGTTACTGACTGGCACTTCTGAAAATTGGACTTTTGTAACTACTAAAGGAGAAAATACCATCAGATCAACCACTTCTTAGATCCTCAGAGCATTGTGGAAGATGAAAAAAATGGAATAACTGAAAGTAGGAAAATCAACTATGAAGTCATTGAAATAGCAGGAAATAAGTGCTTGCAACAAAAGCAATGAGAACAGAATAATTATATGAGATGAAAACTCATCAAATTTAGAGATATTGTGAGAAATGAACAAAAAGTTGGATATCAATTCTGTTTTCAGGCACTGGCTACTGGTGGGAAAAGACACACTCACTGCTCAGAAACAATTTTCATGACTTCCCACTCTAAAACGCAGCCCATGCAGCCTATATGTCATCCGAGAGACGAAAGTGCTTGTTAATATCAATATATGGAAAGGATAAACAGAGGTTCTGACCAGTATTTCTGCTAGTTTAAAATCAAAATCAAAACAGTTTTGGGCTCCTACCAACTTGGTCCACCGTTCAAATACCTTCAGTCTGAATTTTTTACCACTGTTAATTATTTTAACAATTTGGAACTATTGGTGGGCAAATAAAATAGGAAATGAGTCTATCGCCAAAGCATACTGCCCTTCAGATAATGGATGCTTTAAAAGTAGTTTTGGGGTTGTTTCCATTTTTTTGACTATTATGAATAATGAGAAAAAAATTTTTGTTCAAGATTTCTAAGGTCTAAAAAACACTGCCAACACAACTGATCTTACTAAGATGGTGCAGTAAAAAAAGAACATTAATGAAAACTTATTTGTAAATCATATATTTAATAAGAAACTTGTATCCAGAATATTTTAAAAACTCTCACAACTCATAAATTAAGTCAATACTTAAGTTTCCAAAACAGGAAAAACAAGGCCCACATGGGTTCACTGGTGAATTCTACCAAACATTTAAGGAAGAAAATACAACAATTCTCTCCAATCTCTTGCAGAGGACAGAAGAGAAAATACTTCTTTATTCATACTATAAGGGCAGCATTACCCTAATACCAAAACCAGACAAAGACATAACAAACAACAAGTAAACTATAAACCACTATCTGTCATGAAGACACACAGAAGTCCTCAATAAAATACTAAAGCACTGAATTCAGAAAGTACAAGACAAATCATATACCACAATGAAGAGGGATTTATCCCAGATATGTAAGGCTGGTTCAACATTAAAAAAATCAATCCATGTAATCCATCACATTAAAAGGCTAAAGAAACAAAAATCATGTGACCAACAGATGAAAAAAAAGCATTTAATAAAATCCAACATCCCTTTCTGATAAAAATTCTCAGCAAACTAGAAATAAAAGGTAATTCCATCAATTTGATAAACAATTATCTATTAAAAAAAATACAGCTACAAAGAGAAACTTCAAAAAAAAACCCATTTACAATTACATCCAAAATAATAAAATACTCAGGAATAAACTTAACCAAGGAGGTGAAAGACTGTACAATGAAAAGTATAAAAACAATGATGAAAGAAACTGAAGAGGACACAAAGAAATGGAAAGATATTCCATGCTCACAGACTGTTAAAATGTTCATAACAATCTACAGATTTAATGCAATCTCTATCAAAATGCCATTTTTCACAGAACTAGAATAATACTAAAATTTGTATGGAACCACAAAAGACCCAGAATAGGCAAAGCAATCTTAAGAAAGAAGAACAAAGCTGTAAGAATCACACTCCCAGATTCCAAACTATACTACAAAGGTATAGTAATCAAAACACTATGGCACTGGCACAAAACAGACAAATAAATGGAACAGAATAGAGAACCCAGAAATAATCCCATTTTTCAGGTCAACTGATCTATGACAAAGGAGGAGAGAATATACAATGGGGAAAAGACAGGGGCACCTGGGTGGCTCAGTCAGTTAAGCATCCAACTTTGGCACAGGTCATGATCTCATGGTTCCTGAGTTTGAAACCCACGTCGGGCTCTGGGCTGACAGCTGGGAGCCTGGAGCCTGCTTCGGATTCTGTGTCTCATTTTCTCTCTGCCCCTCCCTCACTTATGCTATGCCTCTCAAAAATAAATAAAAGTGCAAAAAACAATTTTTTTTTTAAGAAACAATGGAGAAAAGACAGTCTTTTTAACAAATGGTGCTGGGAAAACAGGTAAGCTACATGCGAAAGAATGAAACTGGACCACTTTCTCACATCATACACAAAAAATAAATTGTTTAAAGACCTAAAGGTAAGATCTGAAACCATAAAACTCCAAGAAAAAAATACAGGCAATAATTTGACATTAGCTGTAAAAACATTTTTCTAGCTATGTCTCCTCAGGAAAGGGAAACAAAAGCAAAATTAAGCTATTGGGACTCTACCCACCCCTGCCCCCAAAATCACTTCTATACCTCAACAAAACAAAAAGGCAACATACCAAATTGGATATTTGCAAATGATGTATACAATAGGGGGTTAATAACCAAAAATTATATAAAGAACTTATACAACCAAACACCACCACCACCACCACCAAATTAAAAACAGGCAGAGGACCTAAACAGACCCTTCTCCAAAGGAGACATACAGATGGCCAACAGGTGCATGAAAAGACACTCAATGTCACTAATCATCAAGGATATGCAAATCAAAACCACAATGGGGTATCACCTCACACCTGTCAGAATAGCTAAAATCAAAAACACAAGAAATATCATGTGTTGGGGAGGATATGGAGAAGGAACCCTAGGGCACTGATGGTGGGAATGCAAACTGGTTCAACCTCTGTGGAAAACAGTACAGAGATTCCTCAAAAAATTAAAACCAGAAGTGCCATTTGATCCAGTAATTCCACTACTGGGTATTTACTGAAAGAAATGAAAACATTAATTCAAAAAAATGTATGCACCTCTATATTTACTGTACCATTATTTACAATTGTTAAGATATAGAAGCAACCCAAGTGTCCATCAATAAAGATGTGGTGCATATACACATACACCCATACATACATACATACATACAGGGGACTATTAACCATAAAAAAGAATGAGAGCTTGCCATTTTTAACAACATGGACAGAGCTAAGTGAAAT